CGTTTATCTGTGAAGACATTTTTAGCAACACTAAATAGTCTTTCCACAGGGGCGCTTGAAGGAATTGTAGTGTTATATTTAATAAATAACAATTTTATATCAGTTCTTTAAAAATGCTAAAATCTCTACATTTTTTTTTGAAAAAGTTATTTAAAATTTGTTGATTTAGAAATTATATCTGCTGTAGGGTACTGAAAAAAATCTGAAATTAAATTATTTTTTTTTTTGGCAGGTTATTTGCTTGCAGTCAGTTGATGACTTTGATAATTCACCAGCTAATCTTTGTATCAATTGTTTTCTTTTATAATGGCTGCATGCCATCTATAATAAAAGCAATAATTAAATCATCTAAAGTGCCTTGAGTTTAAGTCAAAGGTCTTTTAGCAAAAATATTATTGGAGGATGAGCCTTGCCAATATTTTCTTTAGTAATTTATTTTCCTTCCCCTTTTTTATTTTTGTTAACAAGGTTGGATATTTTCTCTTAAAATTTTAATTAGAATTTTAAATATATAATATCTATACCCTTATGTGCTTCACGATATTGCACGTTGAAGTCATACTGACGGATATTTTTGTATTTTTAGGTAGACACGGGAAACCTTTTACCATCAGAGAATTAATTGTTTTCTTTGTTTTGAGATATTATTTTAAAATATGCTCAATTTGGCCATGGTAAAGCAATAGAACTTGTTGCTTCCTCTTCTTCATCGATATAGATCTAAATAAATATATAAACTTAAAAATTTAGTTATAAAATAAAATTTACCATTTCCATATTGTAATATTAAAATTTGTATGGTTTATTGATAAACTAGGACATAATATTTAAATTAATGAATATTTATATATATTTTTTATATATAAGTTTTAATATTTTATGTATATATAATTCTTTATTATAGTATTAATAAATATTAATATATAATATATTTATTTATTTCATAAGCTCATATGAAATAAAATAAATTTTACAGTCAAATATTTTTATTTATAATAAAAAAAGGGGTATATAAAATGTATCTTAAAAAGTATCTAAAAACAGATACAGATACCTCTAAAAAAATATCTAGATACAGATACAGATACCTTTATAGATATATTTTTTAAAAAAAATAAAAAGTATGGCTTGAAGCGTTAACATATTTTTTTTTTACTAATTTTTTAATATAAAATAATAATAAGATTAATAAACTCCCCCTTCCGGATGGAATATTATTATTTCTTTATTAAATATAGATATATTTTTTAAAAAAAATAAAAAGTATGGCTTGAAGCGTTAACATATTTTTTTTTTTACTAATTTTTTAATATAAAATAATAATAAGATTAATAAACTCCCCCTTCCGGATGGAATATTATTATTTCTTTATTAAATATAGATATATTTTTTAAAAAAAATAAAAAGTATGGCTTGAAGCGTTAACATATTTTTTTTTTACTAATTTTTTAATATAAAATAATAATAAGATTAATAAACTCCCCCTTCCGGATGGAATATTATTATTTCTTTATTAAATATAGATATATTTTTTAAAAAAAATAAAAAGTATGGCTTGAAGCGTTAACATATTTTTTTTTTACTAATTTTTTAATATAAAATAATAATAAGATTAATAAACTCCCCCTTCCGGATGGAATATTATTATTTCTTTATTAAATATAGATATATTTTTTAAAAAAAATAAAAAGTATGGCTTGAAGCGTTAACATATTTTTTTTTTACTAATTTTTTAATATAAAATAATAATAAGATTAATAAACTCCCCCTTCCGGATGGAATATTATTATTTCTTTATTAAATATAGATATATTTTTTAAAAAAAATAAAAAGTATGGCTTGAAGCGTTAACATATTTTTTTTTTTACTAATTATTTAAATTATAAATATTATCTTTTGAAATTCATAGTTACAGAAACACAACAATTAAATAACTTAAAGATCTCCAAAACTTTATTTTATTTTATTATGGTATAAATGAAAAGAATTATATATATATATAAAATTAATGACAAGCGGGGAAAAATCTTGTCAAAAATGAGAATTACTCGGAATTTATCTCAATTTAAATATAAAATTTTTTTTTATGAATCAAGCAAACAAGTTTTCTATTATTTTATAAATTCACTTAACTTTCAATATCATGTACAATTAATTGTAAAATAAGATCTATTTTTTTTATATCCATAGTAAAATCAATTACGTAAAATGTCTATCATATAAAATAACGTTTTTTATATCCAAATTAGAATTACAAAATAAATAATATATCACCCCATTGCCTTAAATCTTCATTATCTAAAATGAAAAAATATATCCTTAATAAGAATCAGAGACCTGCAGGCCCGGCCCGTATTTTAAATTTTTTAAATATACCCAGGCCAGGCCGGGCTGGGCCTAAAAAAATTTTTTTTAAATATCTGGCCGGGATAACATTTGTTTTAAAAAATTTCCATATAAAATTTAAGATTGGGATTTGATTCAGGGGAACTTATTTCTATAATTTAAATTTCACTGCCATAAATGTTAATCATCCCATCCTAGAAATTAAAAAATATTATATAAAATTGGTAAGTTACATTTATATATAAAATATAATCATTACTTATTTCGTTTTGGTATTATTATTTTTTTATCTATCTACCTTAATATTAGTTATAAATTTTCCAGATAATTTTGGTTGTCAATATTTTAAAATATGGCAGAAAAAAATTAGGAAATTAATACAAGATTCTCAAAGAAAATAAGATGTATACTGTGATATGTAAAATTTAAAACATGAATATTAAAAAGAATCTATTTTCAGAATTAAGGATCTTAGATACAGATATTAGTATCTTATTAAAAATGTCAAAATATACTGAGTACAAGATATAAAGGGATCTTGTATCATGTATCTTAGATACAAGTATTAGCAGTACTGCCCAACTCTGTTTATTTCAATCTAATTGATTAAAGTCATTTTAAATATTTTTTTAGATTTTAGACACAGCCATATTAAAAAAATTATCTCAATGGATGCAAAATTAAAAAGAATTGGTGAAAAGATTAAGACAAAGGAGTATGAAGTAAGGGAGAATCTTAATGGAAAATCCGATGTATGGAAGAAATTTTCATTTATATATGATGAAAATAAAGAAAAGCTTAATTATGTCATTTCTATTATATGCAAATTTATTTATGTATATAATTCATAACAACAGGTATATGAACTTATTAAATTATTTTAGGCACAAATCAACTTAAAAGACATAAATGTGTATATACAAATACAAGTACAACAGCAGAGAGTAAAAAGACACAATTAACAATTGATAGTCTTTTTGGTACTGATCCGAAAAAACTCAAAAGTTGTACAAAATTGAAAAAAGAGTGCACAAAGGTGCTTACTATGTTTTGTGGACGTGATTTGAGATCATTTGATACAATTCATGGGGAAGGCTTTGTTGATTGTTGCCAATATTTTGCCAAAATTGGTTCAATATATGGAAATATTGATGTTAAAAGCATCATTCCAAATCCTACAACAATTTCTAGAAATTCAGTAGATACTGCTGATGGTATCCGCAATAAATTATTTTCTATATTAAACTCATATATGAAAAAGGGTCGATGTGCTGGTAACAAATTTATGAAAATATGGTTAAATTATTAATAAAATTATTTATTAAAAAATAATAAAATAAATATATATCTTAACATTATTAATGAATATTTTTTTCTTAAGAAACTACAGAGGTGGTAGATACGTTTTTGGACTTCTTTCTATGGGAGGCTGACAATGCGTATTCTGATGCTAGCGCCGAAGTTGACGAGCTAAAAAAATACCTAGATCCGAAATTATGTATTGATGACGATAATATTTTAAAATGGTGGAAAACAAACCATTATGAGTTTCCAAATTTAAGTATTTTAGCTCTTAAATTCCTGGCTATCCCTGCTTCGTCGGCTAGCAGTGAAAGGGCGTTTTCCAAGTAGGGCCTTTGAGGAGAGAAGGACTCGTTTAAAGCCAGATTAACTGGACGCCTCTTTATTTATATATCATAATTATTCACTTTGTGATAATTTTGATAATGATATTGATGAGGTCAATATAATATAATATGTTCATTATATTTTTTATATATTTATTAACTTTTATATCATATCTATATTCGCATAAATGACGCTTATTGTATTATATAATCGTTATAATTTTTAAATTCGCTTGTATATTAATCGTTTTATAATATTTTTTACAAATTTAATAAAATGCAACTTAATATATATCTTGAATAGATTATGGCCGTCAAATAAACTTTTATTTAAGGTGGCTGAACTGAATAAATACACATAAATTTTTTTTTGGTTATTATAATATTAAAATTTAAATTGCAAAATTTTATTCAAGTCGGGCTCGGACAAAAAAATTTTTAAATTCGGGCTCGGGTCGAGCTCGGGTTGCGAAAAAATTACTTTGCAGTTCTCTAGTATGGGCCATATAGACTTTAAAAACCATTTCATCTTTGTTTTAAAAAATCTTCCCCAGGCTGAATTCATGCTGACCTCCAGGATATAAATATATATCACAAATTAATAAGGGCTCAAAATAAAGTAACACATCGTCCACCCCCCCCCTAAACTTGATAGGGATGAAGGATCTACAAAAAGATAAAATGGGAACAAATGGAATGTGAGAAACAAAAACTAGACAACCATTTTATTTTAAAACCTCTCTTGTGGCTGAGAACCTTTACTAAAAAATATTATTAATTTCAGGCCGTATTACAAGGTTATAAATAAATAAAAAATTATTATTGGGAGTGGGAGTATAATCACAACCTTATTTTCAAAAAACCATTCAAAACAGTAAATTTTTGTATCTATAATTGGTTAATTATCAGATTAATATATCATTTTGAAGCACGATTGCTTGCTTAATGGCATTTAAATATATAATCATAATGAACAAGTTTAATATATATATATATTTTTTAAAAAAAATCCAAGCTTCATTATAAATTCAGTAATTTTTTTTTTGAAAATATAAATATTGTTCCCAAAAAAATTTTATCATCTATATAACACAATGAATTTTCTCTCTATTTTTTTAAAGATCTCTAGATATATTGCTTAATAAAAAATAATTTATAAAAATTTGTTCGCTAAATTATTAAGGGTGCGATTGGGTAGGACCGAAGAATTGGGTATCAAATGATAGGTCAAGATGAACATCATCACTGGTTGGACCAAAAAACAGAGACTGAGCAGTAGATACGATATAGCCTTCTGTCTTTTATTAGCTTAAAAAATAAATTTGAAAATGACATAATTGATGATAGAATTCAACAAAAAATAATAATTTAAATTCATTTTTTGGTGGGCGGTTTCAAAAACTATTCCAAAAATTAACCTTTTTTTATGTTAGTGTTGTTAAAATACCTAATAGCGCGTACAAATTAAACGTTTCAACGCAGCGTTTTAAAACGCATATCAATATTTTAAAATACAAAACGCAAACGTACTCAATTTAAACTAATGCAATTAAAATGCATTATTTGCGTTTTGAAACACAGCGTTGAAATGTTTTTGTGCGCACTATAACTTTGACCATCTCGATTGTGGCTTAATCAATCTTTTAGCCTAAAAAAAAATTGAATTAAGCTTCTAAGTTGAGTCACAACTTGATGATTGGTCGGAATATTTTTGGTCATAAAAACATGGCTGCGCCGTTTTATGATAGTTAAACCAAAACTAGGTAATTTTAAACAACACTAGCTTTTCTGAAATTTTTTGTTTTGGGATTTCTAACCTTTTATACGAGGATCATAGTAGTAGGGATCGTTCGGATTGGGATATTGATTCTGATTCGTAAAAGTCGTGTTGTAGGCATTCGGCAAGATGATAAGTCTCCAGGTTTTGATCTTATTTTCGCAGATTTATTAATTGTTAAATATTTTAAGGGTAATTTATACCAAAAAGTATCCTATGCTGATTCCGAAATAAGCTAGCGTTATGTAGTAACTCTTGTTTCCGAAAAAAGTGGCGATTATAACACAAACGATCATCCTAAAAAACCAATCAAAAATTTATATTATAAAAGCTTAAAGTTTTAAAATATAAGAAATTGGCAATAAAAAATAAACTTTTATTTTCTTTAAGATTTTGACCAATAAAAATATTTTTCAATATTTGTCCGACCCAACCCTGGCCGAAAAATATTTGTCTAGCTCATAGAAGATACGTCACAAAAGCGTAATTTGGTTATTATGATAATGATTTAATTGGTCAACAACGGGCCGGGGTGTGAATGGGCCTACAAAATTTTAAATAGCCTTTATTGGCTATAAAAAAATTTAAAAATAATATATTTTAAAATCCGGACATTCTTACCTCTCATCGGCATAAAATAATCCAAACATTTTATTTAAAGTATTCAGAGGAAAAATAAAAATACGCTATTAATTTGTTCTATAAAATTAATATCGATTGTCAAATTTTCCTCGCGGTTATATTTATCTAACCATTTTTTAAAAAAAATTTTTCCCTTAATCTATTTTTCGAATCTTGATAGAGAAAAAAAAAACTAAATATTTTACAGATTTTTATTGAGGATGTTAAAGTAATTTGTGACGCGTTTACTAGCCGAATCGCGAACTAAAGTATAAAAAGGTTAAAATATGGCTGATAAATGTACAAAAAAAAGTCAGATGTTTCGCATAATTTCGAACACATTTATATTAAAATTATTCTATATATTTTGGCAACCCTACCCACAGTACTTCTACCAATGAAAGAAACATTTTTCTTTTTGTTAACAATAAAAACGTACTGGAGAAATAGTGATGTTAAATGGCTTGATTTTTAATATTTTAGCCAGAAATATTGTCCAAGGACTCATTTACAGTAGACGCGTCATTTAAAAGCTATCGAAATCGCGACTGATTCTTAGTAGCGTTAATAAATTTTTTTTAAATATGCGTCGCCATATGTTTTTTTCAAATTTTTATCGTAACGTTATCATCATAATAACTTACATATCTATAAAATTATACTTATTTAATTAGCTGGATTTTGTAAATAACGCCGCGTTACATAACGTACCGCCTGAAAGTAACGCGTTTACTATAAATTAGCCCTTGAGATTTCGCTAATGGATGTCTAATAAACCTTTGTGCCACCGAGTTAAAAAAAATGGTGTAAAATCTTTATTAACTATTTTTTTAAATTTAAAGCATTACAACAAATAAATTGTATTCTAGTTTCTTTCATTGATATATTATTATGTAATTTACAATAATAAAATAACTAAAAACAATAACTAATATCAGCCCAATTCTGATATTTTTTGAGAATGCTAAATATGGATAATCGAATATGTAAATATTGGCAGAGTCCAATAAATTTTATTTATTTATTTTACAAAGACTTTTTTGAGACATACATTTTATAATGATCCATGTATATATATATATGTATTTAATATTTTATTTATATTTGAATTTGCGTATTCAAAATTATCAAAAGAAAGAATTTTTTTTCTCATAATTAAAACTTTTATGAAAATTATCTGAATTTCCAAGGTTATTTACTCTTTAACAGATCACTCTACCCTTTCATTAAACCAATAATGCTGAGCCCCCCCCCTTCTCATGATGATGGCAATTGCATATAATGTCAAAATTTAAATTAAATATCAGTATTACATACCCAACATATTTATAGGCACTAAACGCAAAAATGTCCAAAATTCTTAAAAGCGAACCAATATTCATAATATATAGCAAGAGTGTTGTCAGCAGAACTTCGATGATTTGCCAAATAAGACATGTGCTAGCTCTTATTCCCAATTGTTCAGGTGTAAATCTTTTTAATTGATAAAATTAAGTAATTTAATATAAATAATCAATCATAAATAAACTTTTTTTGCATTCCCATAATCCAACCACTAGTCAGTATGAAAGTGACAAATGCCATCAATGGTATATAAAGATCAGGTGCATTAAGATCAAACCTTGGGGCAATAGGCTGATTTTCTTGATCATATTGGAGTGCCCAATCCTATGAGTTTAAAATTTAATAAAAGCATTAATAAACAAACCCAATATTACTTTGTGCAAATAGGGACACATAAGTATTGTGAGTTTTTTACCAACATATTTTGTATCAACAGCAAAATAGTATTTAAGCCTGGATAAGGAAACCCATCTCTCAAACTAGATTAAAAGTGTGTAACAATTCTTTTTTAATTTTAACCTTTTGTTCCATCATATGTTTTCCTTGATCTGCTAAAACTGTTCCATATGTCATAGCAACATCTGCCATTGGTTGATAATTATTTAATGGTATGGGAAGAGGTGTGTAATAGTTATTAATTAGAGGAGGACCTTTATTAGGAGTTGGAATTGCTATGAACATAGCCAATAAAAAAAATATTTAAATTAAATAATACTATTAGAATAATTTGATGATAGAGATACATTTTCTTGCCCAATATCATCAAAGGCATAGGAAGATGATGGTTGATTGATATTTTGCTGGGGAATAAAATTAGCTGCCCCAAAAGACACTCTTTTAGGAGTGGGGTTTATTTTATTAGAATCCCACATATTATTCACACATTCATTTTTGACACACCAGAATTACATGAATGCGAATTTAACCCTTGGCGATGTTAAACAGCTAGTGCAATGATCTTTTTGAATCAATGACCTGTCATTGATTTGTGCAATGTAATGATATTATCATTGGTGCAATGCTTCTCAAAAAGTTTAATAAAGTAATTTAAATATAAAAGAATATTAAAATAAAAGTAATACGTCAGTTTTAATAAATTTTAATAATTTGTAAAACATTTCCATATATTATTAAGAATCTATTTATAAAATTGTATTCATATTTATACGATAACATTAATAATGTGTTTTCTAAGTTGTTAGTAAATTTAACATATTATTTGTATTTGCAAAAATTTAAAACAACATATTTTAATCAAATAACGTATTTTTATTATTTATGCCCTACTCTTTTTTAATACTTTCAGATTGGCTTTTATCCCACTTAGAGGCGTACTCATGATAACTTGGGGGGGGGGGGAACTACTAGGTGGGGTTTCTCACTAATAAATTTAATGGATGTTTTTAGGTGGTATTGTGTCAAAATATATAAATACATGAAAAAATAAAGAGATTTGTATATTATTAATTTTAAAAAATAAAAAAATATATTTAAAATGTAAAATTATATTTATAAAAATGTTTCAAATTTTTTTTATAAAAACTTATAGTAGAAACATTATTATGAAAAAATAATGAGCATGTTTAATAAAAACCATGCTGGGCCACGTTAACTGTTAGCTTGGTGCTATACAACAAAATTAAGGGAGGAGGAATACCAATCTTTATCAATTTTCATTTATTTTTTATTAAAATGCAAAATTTTGAATTATCGTTGTTATTTTAAAATGTTTAATTTTTAATAATTTTTGTTTAAAATTCTTGTTTAAATGATAGATTATCTACATTTTAGGGAGAGTGAGTGGCGAAAGGAGCGTAGGTGAGAAATTTTTATTAGCTTAAAGTGATATTTACGAGAATAGGCAAATTTTTTAAAGAGTGGGGAGGAAGGGGTTCTCCTTGTCGTCCCTCTTAGGTTAAAGGTATAATTGCCTTTATATAGGCCTTCCGATACGTTATTTCTAGTTTTATATGAAATATTTATAATGAAGAGGAAGATGTCCGTTATATGCAACACGCAACATGCATGTTGAAAGCTTAAACTGAATGGGAGTAACTATGGGCCAATTAGTTCGGAGTCCTATAGTTATAAGTAATTCTTCCGGAGATTCACTTGGTTTGGCCTCAGGTCATTCATATCCGTTTTTACGAATTTCATCCTGTTCATTGCTGAAAATTGCTCATTCGATATTAAAATGAGCTTTTGCAAGGAAGCAGAAGAATAGGAGAATTTGGAAGTGAATTTAGATTACAAGATATCAAATCTTTTTCGAATTATCCAATTAGCGTTCATTCTATTGCGCAAAAACGGGTTCGAGTCAAAACATGCCGGGGGAATTGAGTTCCTTTTTTCCTTGTAATAAACTTAAAATATATTTGTCATAAGGCGAGAAGTTGGGTGGCTTTTATTTACCATTCCTGCTTACAATGAAGATTTAAATTAACTAATAAAGGAGTAGGAACCGATTATTAAAATAAATTTTTATAGCGGGGATTTTCAAATATAAAATCGGTGCAGCTCAGCCAGAGGCTAGAAAGCAAACAAAAAATATAAATGTGTGAAATTTTCATAGATATTTTGAAAGATTAATTAATTTAAAATTGATCAAATTTTTTTTTTGAAGCAATAATTAAAGATTATTTTAAAAAAAAGTAAAGGAGCTAGTTTTTATTGGTTTAAAATAAGAGTTCTTAAATAATTTCATAAGTGGGTTCTGACTCTGGTAATTTGGACATCAAGTTTTCTTAGAGTTTTAGATTCTGGTTCTGGGGGTTTCAAAATCTGCTTAAGATGATATATATACAAAAAAGCAACAAATTTTCTGGGTGAGTGGGGGAGGGGGTGATCCAGTTTTATCTCTTCACCATTACAATATGGATAGTATTTAAATAATACAATAATATTATTATCTTTCGATGACAACGGTAGAAAGATCATTTATCTTGATTTCTTCATAAATCGCTACCGAAAAAAAGATTGAGTAATGATAAAACTGAGCGTGTATAAGTGGGGTATAGCTTTTAATGTTATTTATTTTTTGAGGTGTTTTTATCGCCGGGGTGGCCTAATGGGTAAGATGTAGGCTTGGAAACACGAGCATGAACTAGGACGCGGGTTCAATCCTGGTAAGAACCATAAAAACTTTCAAGTTTTTCTTCGATGACTGATGTGTAAAGACATGTGGTATGATGAATTTCGGAGCTTAGAGATGACACCCCGGTCACCGACAGGCCTGGACAGCCGGGTGCTAAGGATACCTGTCCAATAAACAAAATGAAGGACACAAATGAAAATATGAATATGAAAGCTAGGGCGTTCCCTCCATGCGACGCGCAGGGTGTAGACCTCCATCCTGTGAAAAATAAAGTAAAGGTCAAAGCAAAGAAGACAAGACTGGCAAGTTTGAATATTGGGACGCTTAAAGGTAAGACGAGAGAATTGGCATCAATGTTGAACAGGAGAAAAGTTGATATAGCGTGCATACAAGAGACGAAATGGAAAGGACAGAAGACTTTGATGATTGGAGATGGGTATAAATTGTACTATAATGGACTTGTTAGCAATAGGAACGGTGTCGGCATCATCCTCAGTCAAGATCTAACCTCCTCAGTTGTAGAAGTCAACAGGATCTCTGATAGACTAATGAAGATAAAACTCTGCATTGGTCAATCAATACTACACATCCTATCAGTATATGCTCCTCAAACGGGTTGCAAGGAAGAAGAGAAAGATGACTTTAGAGCTATCCTTGATGAAGCCGTAATGGAAATCCCTAAGGATGACCTAGTCATAATTGGTGGTGACTTAAATGCGCATGTGGGGAAAGCAAGAGATAGCTACAAAAGGCATCATGGTGGTTTTGGATACGGAGAAAGAAATGATGAAGGAGAGCACGTACTGAAATTTGCGCAAGCCTTCGACCTTGCCTTAACCAACACCTACTATAGGAAAAAAGATAGTCATTTAATAACATATGAAAGTGGTACTAGGAAAACACAGATAGATTACATGCTAATCTCTCGCAGAAGATTAAAAGATGTAATAGACTGCAAAGTCATCCCAGGAGAAGATATCGCCGCGCAACACAAGCTACTAATCATGGATTTATAAATCTCAAATAAATCCACTCAAAATAAGATAAAACTGGAACCATGCATCAAATGGGGCAAATTAAAAACAATGACAGATGCCTTTGCAATCAATGCAAACATTGAAACAATAAATTGCTCACAAGTCAGTGAAAAAATATGGACAGACCTTTCATCCAGATTAATAGACACTGCAAAATCGACGCTAGGCTTGACAAGAGGAGGCAACAAATCACACAAAGAACTATGGTGGTGGAATCAAGAGGTACAAACCACTATACAGGAGAAAAAAGCCCTTTATAAAATATGGTACAAATCCAAAAATGCAGATGACAAGTCAAGATACAAAAAATCCAAGAGATTAGCTACAAAGGCGGTGGCTAGGGCCAAATCTATGGCATACGATGACATGTACGAAGATCTACATACCAAAGAAGGGCAAAATAAAATATACAGATTAGCCAAACAGCGAGAAAAGAACTCTAGGGATATAAACGGAGCTCCGAAAGTAATCAAAAATAAAGATGGGAAATTGATAATAAAGGAAAAAGAAATAATGAATAGATGGAAAGAATATTTTCAGGAGCTTCTCAACTTTAATTCCCACATATTGCATCTCGACGAACACTCCCCTTGTCAAAACCTTGTACAACCTATAACAGAACAAGAAATAATCACATGCCTCAAGCATATGAAAAACAACAAAGCTAGGGGTCCAGACGATATTCCAATAGAAAGCCTTAAAGCACTAGGAGATGATGGAATACATCTCCTCACAAATCTGTACAATAAAATACTTGGAAATGAAGAGGTCCCCCAAAAATGGAGGCAGAGCTATCTAGTTCCTATCTTCAAAAATAAAGGGGATCCACACAATTGTCAAAATTACAGGGGCATAAAACTAATGTCACACTGTCTAAAACTATACGAAAAAATAATAGAAAAAAGATTAAGAGATATAATCGAAATAGGAGAGACACAGTTTGGCTTTATGCCTGGAAGATCAACAACCGATGCTATCCATGCAATTAGGCAAATGAGTGAAAAATACAGGGAAAAGAACAAAAAGCTACACATGGTCTTTCTCGATCTAGAAAAGGCCTTCGATAGAATCCCAAGAAAACTTATCTGGTGGGCGCTACGCCACAAAAAAGTTCCCGAAAAATATATAAGAATAATAGAGGATATGTATATGGGACATACAACAATGGTCCGTAGCACAACAGGTACTTCAGTAGGCTTCACAATAGCCGAAGGAGTTCATCAAGGGTCGGCTCTCAGCCCACTTCTCTTCATTACAGTAATAGATGTATTAGCACAGTCTATACCTCAAACAGTCCCGTGGAATATGATATTTGCAGATGATATTGTGATACTTGCCGAATCCAAGGATGAAATGAAAGAAAGGTTAGTGAATTGGATAAATATCCTAGAAACGCACGGATTAAAAGTAAATAGAGAAAAGACGGAGTATATGGTGATAGGAGGAGATGAAACGGAGAGTATTGATATAAATGATTGGCAGATATCCGCAATTGAAAGCTGCAAATATTTGGGCTCCACTATACAAACAAACGGCACAATAGAAAAAGAGATAAAGAATAAGATTAATCAAGGGTGGTTAAAGTGGAGATCTTTATCTGGAGTGCTATTTGACAAAAGAATCCCACACAAATTAAAGGGAAAAATTTACAGTTCCATAGTACAACCAACTATTCTATATAGTTCGGAAACATGGCCAACCAAAGAATCAGACGAGTGAAGTCTACAAACTATGGAGATGAGAATGCTGAGGATGATTGCTGGGGTAACAAGAAAGGATAAGGTGCGCAGTACAAGAATACTAAATAGTTTAAAGGTAGTGCCCATTAAGACTAAGTTAATGGTAAACAGACTTAGGTGGTATGGGCACACAATGAGAAGGCCTATGAACTACATAGGAAATAAAGTTGAAAGATTGGAAGTGATGGGCAAACGTAAAAGAGGAAGGCCAAAACTTCAATGGGGCCATAAAGTTAGAGCCAATATAAAGAAGTATAAAATAGATAAAAGAGATTGTACGAATAACATAAAGTGGAGAGAGATGTTGAAGGAGCTTACCACCAGAAAAGGTGAAAGCTAAAGAGAAAAAAAAAAAAAAAATTTTGAGGTGTTTTTATTTAAATATTGGAAAACATTAGAATTTTATCTTAAAATAAATGACATATAATAATATCTATACTGACGATACATTCATGATAATGCATCTGATAGTGGTCAAATCAGCTAAACCTGCCATTTTGGTAACCCATATAGTAATTATTCTCATGCTAAAACTAATATTAAATTGATAACTTGATTCCTTATTAACTCAATGATCAGTCTATAACAAAGTTTACGTTTAGGAATAAATTGGCCTCTCGTTTAAAATTTTTAATAATGATATGCGTAACCAAATGGCGTCCTCAGCTGTTTTTATTGATATACACTTTTAATGAATGCATCGTCAGTCTAGGTACTATTATATATCATTGGCTATACAAAAAAATTGTTCATCTGTATACCAGTATGTAAATATCACCTACTGTAAAGATCCGAGTGAGAATCCTTCGAGGAACAATGTTTTTTGCTGAAGCCAACTAGGTGGTTCTGTGCTGAAAAGTGTAATATATAGAATATCGGAAGCGATTACGTGATTTCGTTAATATATGTTAAAATAAAAGTAGGTCTTAATGTTTTTATATAATAAAAAATGGATTGTTGATTAACAAATTTTTATAACTATGAACCAACGTTATATATATAGCATAACTCTATAAAAATAAGGGAAGGGGGGGGGGAGGGAGGGGGGGGGAGGGTGTTAATATATATTTTATAATTCTCGGAGGTCTGCAAAGTTCAGAATTTTGAGCTCTGTCCGAATTTTTTCAAAAATAAATATTTTCAAACACGATACTTCATGAGTTTTTTTTTTGGATTTTATATTTTAAATCTGGGGCCCCGCGAATCTTATGATGCTCATGGCGAATCTTATGATGCGCATGCCTCTAAAAAAAGGATATATATATATTATTTTCAAATGTATGTTCATTTGATTTTAAGTTTTTTGTAAAAAAAGTTTTGTGGATACTTTAAAAAAGTAGCGCTATAGCACGTTACCTTTAATAGTTACTTTTACAAGTATCGCTGATTTATGTATGGCTGATTTAAATGGTTATCCTTTGAGTTAAAATTTTAATTATCGCGATTGATACTAAACACCCCCTCCCTCCACCTTTAACCCAATGTTAGAGGGCGCTGAGTTTGAAAGGTCACTAGTGTTGTTAAATACCTCGAATTGGGTCGATTTTTCAAAATGGTCCGATTATGATTTTAGCTAAAAATATATGCATCGAGATTTGGCATATAGAGGTTCAAGCAGATCTGCCAGCTATGATCGCAAAATCCATTAGGCTTACATAATGTTAATGTGGGTTATTATCTTAATCGGGGTCGGGCCGGTTTTTAAAACCGATCCGAATCCGGCTTTTTAACGATACTAGTAAGTCACTGTAAAAAATCATAATCTAAGAAAACGACAATATTATATATTGGAAGTTAATATCTTGCTTATTCCTATCTAACCTAATTTTCACAATGTATGAATATTGAATTGAGAGTATTTATTTAAAAAAAACTAAACTATATTTAACACTAGAAAAGCCTCTTAATAAAGGACAAAGATTAACCCCAGTATTATATTAGAAAAGAAGGGAGCTAATAAGATCAGAGCACTGATTAAAATTACCCTCCCCCCCCCCCTCTTCCCTCATGTTAGCAGAGCCAAATTAAGAAAAGTAATCAAAGAAAAAACTATTTTTAGAAAAATTATACTTTGGGAAATTGGATAAATAATAAGAAACGATTTGCCTAAACTATGTTCGCAAAGTTCATTTGAACATAAATTCCGTCCACATTTCTGATTGGCTTATTTAATAGCTGCAAATTATTGTTTTCTTAAATATTGTTAAAATATTAACTTGGTAATTATCTGATATATTAAATAAATACATTAAATAGAATAATAACTTGCAAATGATTTAGATCCATTTTTGACAGATGGTGGATACCAAAGTATTATCAAAATCTACCCACCCTAATGAACATATTTTAATATTATTCTATTGAAGTTTAAATTTTTTTTTTACAAAATTGCTTGTTATTACAATAATTATAATTGAAAATTATAATATTTTACGTAATAAATTGTTTTCATTTTAATATAAAAATTGACCTTACACGCGTAGAAACCTAATAACTTTAATTTATATCTTTAATAGGGTTAAAATAAAAATTTATTCAGACATAAACAAATTTTAACTCGTAAATTATAAAGATAATTTTAAAAAATAAAAAGCCATTGCTGCCAAAATATAAAAAGTTTAAAAAGAATGGTTATTTTCTCATCATTTAAAAAAATTTATACTAATTTTTAATAATTATTATTTAAAAACCTAATGATAAAATGAAGCTCACAAAGAGAAATAAAGTTTATAAAAACAATTTTGTTCTAAAATTTTGAACAAATATAAGTTGAAAGGTCAATTTCAAAAAACACAAAAAAACATACTAAACCAACCCATCTTATACGTACTACGTAAAATTTATATAAAAGACGATATATAAAGTTTAGAATTTAAATATCAAATTTAATAAAGATAAATATTTTAGATACTGAAAAATTATTTTATAGAATTTAAATTATCATTTAAATCTCTTGTTATACTACAAAATATTCCTGGATTTTTCGAGTGGTAATTATTTCTCTAAACTTATTTTGTTATTACAAACGCCCAAAATAGTCGAACAAAATTTTTGCCTTTGCCATATATATATAGGTTGTCTTTCAATAGTTGAGCGTAAAAAATACCGAATAAAATTTTCCGATCCTTTTTCTAAGAGGTTTTTGCTAAATATCCATTAAAAAATGGGGAATTATATGATTTAAAATTATGCATATATTTTTTTAAAAATATGTTTATTTCATTAACCAATAGGGAATCATGTTAACAAAATTGAATAACTACTTTAAATTTTTTAGCCTCGTTTAATGGCAATTTTTCGAAAATAAAATTTTGCATGATTATTTTCCCCTTTTGTATTTTATACATATTTTTAGAGTTAGAATTTGTTGAAATTGTTTCAATCAAAGGGCTAGAAATAAAATATTACCTAAGCTTCAAGATTTTGTTCTACAGATGGCCAAACTTTTCAGCCATCGATATGCTAAATCTTCTAGGTTTAGTTGATATTTATTTTTTTGGCTAAGATCCTTAGCAACCATAGTGGAAAAAAAAATATACAAAGGTATAAGCGTTTAAAGATCCCCAGGAAATATATATTTGTGGAAGTTAAAATCTTAGTAATCAAAAATAATGGTAAATTTTTCAATATGTAAACTTAAAGTAACTTAAATTAATTCTCCATGTTTTGAGTTTAATTTTTTATTATTTTTAACCTTGGGAGGTTAAACATTCCAACTAAAAAAAATATATGAACATATTAAGCCTTGTATTTTGTTATTCAGCTATCTTCGCACAGTTAAAAATAACAAATTCTATAGAAAAGTTTGGGGAGTGGGAAAACTTCAGCTTATATTAAAATATAATTTTTTTGTCGCGAAAAAACATATTCTTTAAAGATTTCCAAGAAAAACTAACAGAAATGAAAAGTAAAATATTTTCGATTCTCCTCATCGGTATACTGGCATTGATGATTTTTGCGATCGATGTTACTGAAGGTAAAATAATATAAAAATATATATATACTAAATGCATCCCAGCATCCAATGCTGATATTGTTTACTTTTCGTTAGCTCTTATCTTAGCTTTGGATAATGAATAATATTATTTTATTTTCCTCTTTTTTTAGCTCAATGCGTGATTACGATCAATGGAACGGATTTCACGCCCAGTTTGACTCCTGTTTATATTTCCTATTATGGTAACGACCAAAAAAACACATCTCTTATATAATAAATATTTATTTCTTACATAATAAATTACTTGAAAAAAGGCAATGAATTCCCAATGACAGATCTCGTTAATATGGATGTCAGTACTTGCAAATTTCAGATATCTATGTATATCTATACCCCAGAAACACAGATAAGTAAATTATCTTGAGCATTACATTTATATGTAAATTTTTATGTCTCTTTTGATTATTGAATTGATATCTAATATTACTATTATAAATCATTCATTTTAGCCGCAACAAATACTGGCTTGAATTATGAATACCTTAATGGTGTTGAATCAGGAAATACAACATGTCCCAATGTAGATATAACTATGGTTAAAGGTGAGATATTCGGTTTGTACCAAAATTTAACATTAAAATTGGATGTTAAGCTTAAAGACCCCGCAACGGTCGTTGTTGTAAGATAAATATATATATATACATATATCATTATTCATATTAAAAATATAATTTTAGATTAATACAAATAGCGTTGAAGTTAGCATTGGTTACAGCCTTTTTGAGTAAACGGACTCTAATGTTTAAAATTCTTCAAATATTTTTTTTTAATAAATATATTTTTAATATTATTATTATTGTATAATTTCTAATGGGAAAAAATAAATGAATTTTTATATTTTATACAATCAAAATTATAAAAAAAACTAATAAAAAGTCTTAAAAGGGTTAATAAAAGATTTGATTACGCGTCGCTTGGTTTAGTCACTTCCTTTAAATGGCAGCCGTCAATCAATTGTGTTACGATTTTTTTTATTTTCACTCACAAATTTTATTAAACAATTTTTTTTGAATATTAATAAACTAACCTTGATCACTATTTCTACAACCTTTTAACGCTCTTAGCATCCAAGAGTTAACTCTATCTCCTATCGTTAGTGTCCAAGAGATTAGTATTAAAATTATCCGAATTGGGTTCAAAAAACGGTACTATTCTTGCTTCCGATGAAATGATTGTACCTCTGTACTTCCATGCCTAAACAAAATTCCCAATTGTTTAATAATATATTTAGAATAAAAATTAACATTAGTTATATCGTCAGCAGTATAAAAATATGATTCTCTTAATATAACCATTTCTTAAAATTTTTATGGTCAAATTTCAGCTTGTTCGTTTCTTTTTTCCATATAATATATAAATATATATTGCCAAAACTTAATAACTACAAAAAATCTTATCTTTTGTTACCTTCCCCGTTTTCAAATGACATAAAGCAGCCTTGTCTAAATATTATGTTAGCGGGTAATTTGTGGAATTCAAGCTATATGCTAAGATCATTCAAGAATGTTAGAAATCGTAGGGAGTAGGGGATCGATCTCTACACATCCTGCAAATGAATATTCACAATTTTATTGAGCACATTTTATAAAAATTCGATATATGATTTTGTCCAAAATTCATTTCAGTACTTGTAAAACCCCATCTATAAATTTCGTATCATTTGATCATAAAATTTTGAGTTATTTTGAATTGTCTACTTTACCTGGATTAAGAGTAATCAGACAGAGTTTACATATTATTAAGGATAAAAAAAACACAAATGAATAAAAAAACAAACTTTGTTTTTTATGTTTTTTATAAAATATTAATCTCACGGAAAACTTATAATTCTAAATTTAAAATTTTATCATAAACTTTTCGTTTCTCAGAATTATTTTATATATTTTCTCATCTTGTTAAAAAATTGTGTCATAATTTTATAATTTTTTTTATTAAAAAAAATGGAAAATTTTGAATAATGTTTAAAATTTCGTTTTAAAATGACATTTTAAACTTGTGCGTTTTTTTAAGTTTTATGTTTCGAAAAATAAATGCTTTTGTTTTTTTGTTTTTTTACTTCTAGAAGTATTGCATGATTATCAACATTATATAAGTACCAAAAAAAAGAGGAAAATGAATTGAAAATGATATATTTTGGCAAAATATTTCCATAAATAATATTTTTGGACTTTAAAAAAAAGTATTTGCAGGAGTAAAAAGGCTTAATTTTTTAATCATCTTTATGAAGTGAAAGTAGGGGGGGCTTATAAGCATCGAGGGAGAAAAACCTAATAAAAACAAGTTAGAACTGAGTAAAATTTATCCAAATTTTTAGCCTTCGTTGATACCAACCTCTTTCGATTTATACTTAGCATTCTTACCCTATTAAGATCTCATACCTTCTAACGGAGTGTATTCAAAAATGGGTCTAGTACCCACCTTGGGGTGAGAAGATATTTCATTCTACTTCATAGATATGCAATATTCTCTTTCAATATCTAAACATGCCATGAATTCGAAAGAAGTGATAGAAATAGCATAGAAGGTCTAATCATAACCGAGTTGTTACCTAGTAAACACTACATTATTTGTAGCGGCACATCTTGACCTTTTTTCAAATTGAATTGCTCACTTCACTTTTATAGCAAAATAAAACATATATAATAGACAACTTTGGATGATATTCACCCTAGACCGCAGATTATATACTCTTCTAATAAGATTACTTAAATTTATATGAACCAGCGACATCGATGTAATCATTTAACAAGTTTCTACCCTCGCTATCATGACCTCGTATTTTTCTAGGTTGCTACTTCTTTCTATCAAATTTCTTATAAGCATGAATTTGATAGATTTTTTAAAAAACGATCCTATTAAGAATTAAGCCAAAAGAATATTATATATGCCCGGAAATTTTATTCATAGAAGATTGAGTTAACAATTAAATAAATTGTTGGCAAGCTGTAAGAAACTTTGATTAGTTAGGGTTTGACTATAATACTAAATTAAGTAATATTGTAATAATTCTTCTTGAATAAGACATTTTAGTCTAAAATCTGAATATTATAAGAATAGATGACAAAACTCTCTTGCCAAACATCGAGGCTTAAATAATATGATTTTAGCTAATATCTTAAGTGGGACCTTCTTTCTTAAAATAAACCAAAATGTGACTTTTTAACAAAGCTAATTGCTGCCATACTATGTAGATTAGTTCTTACTTTCGACTTTATGAATATAACATCATTGCTCGTTTTCATATATAAATGGCCTATAATTTATATTTTTCATATTATATTTAGTCTAATTATTTAAAAATATAAGCACGAGATGCCTAAATTGTCAATATTTTTTATTTATGATACTAAAATTGATCGTAATTCTCATGAGTGGAGATGTGAACCTAGAAATTTAACTTTACAAGATTCATATATTACAAACAAGTGTATAAACTGTTTAGTTTATCATATTTAAAAGGTTCATATATATATATCATGTAAAAAGTAAATACTTTGAACTGCATATATGTTGAATGATTGATTTTTTTATTTAACTTAAATTGTTATTATAGCCTTAAAATATATATTTCGTTTAAATTGTTTTTTTATAATACATATATATATATATACCTTATTTTATATTTATTTGGAGTATCATCTTTTAGTTTTAGAATAAAATAATTATAACTTAAAACCGTTTTTCTTACCATCGTTATTTATAACATGGTACCCCGGAATACTCACAATGATATATAAAAAAATCTCATATATATTGTGCATATACCGATAACTGACACACACACAAAATTATGACATGGATGATTCAACTGGGAAGGAGAATTACTAAACTTAATATCAAACTAGACGAATCTATTATGGATATGAGTTGTTATAAATGGAAATGATTACTAAAATTGGGTATATGAACTTACAAGAACCAAAATGATAGTTAGACAATAGGTTATGAATTCTATAGAGTAAAACCAATGACGATTTATAAAATATTCTAAATCCAAGTTTAAAAAAAAGAGGAAAGCTATTATAAAATTCCAATATAACTTAATAAAATAATTTAATAAAAAATTTAAATATAAATCAGTCATATTGGACATATATGAATACTTAGATAACCTTAGAAAATATTTACTCAATAATGAATCAACAGTTAAATTTCTTGATTACCTACCCATTGATATTTTTCGTATTATTGATTTCTGGGATAATGACCAAAAGTGGGAATTAACTAAATTGCCTAAAGATAAATTCTTAGCTACAATTAAAAAATATTACGTAAATAGGCCGTATTTAATTCAATTCCCAGATCATTATAGATTTCATATTGACAAAATTTAGTCTAAAAAAATATTATAATACAAGTGACATAGGTTATTATAATAATAATAGGAATATTAATTATAACAAAAGAAATTATATTGATTATAAATCTAATGTGCATAAAAACAACTTTGAACGAAACTTTGTTAAAAGATATGATATTAATTATAATAAAAATTGCAACATTAATAATTTTAGATATTATGAAAATTGTAATTGTAGAGACTACAGAAATTTTAACTTTAGATGTCATAACTGTGAATCCTATGATGAGAAAAATAAATTAGACAATAAATATGATAAAGAAACTCATTATAATAAAAGAAATTATAAATCTCTTAGTAAGGAAAAATTGAAAAATATAAAACCAAATATTCCAAATGAAAGAGATTCTTATAAACTAAAAGAGATAAATTATATAATAAAATTTGAAATATTCTTGATTATAAAAAAAAAGGAAATAAATATTAAAGAAAACAATGAAACAAAGATTTAAAGAAAATAATAAAATTAAAAAAACTCTTACTAAATGCGATAAAAAAATATTGAGACTTATAAAATTGAAGACAATTAAAAGTATTACTAAGAGAAGTCATATAAAAACTAAACGTCTTCATCCTAGAATAATACGCAAGGATGTGATGAATAGATCTTTTTCTAAAAATTGAAGGCTCAAAAAATTATTTTTTTACTAAAAACAATCTTATGAATAATTATTATTTCACAATACTTTTTAAAATTAAAAAATAAGGGCATAAAGTTTAAATTTCTGAAGAGAGAGATGGATGTACAGACGTACATATCAATCTTATCCATATTTTATTAAAAAAATATATATAGAAAATAAAAAAAAACTCTAAATATATTATCTAACAATCTTGTTGATTTATCATCCTTTTATTATTCTAACATCCAAATTTGATCGATTCTCTAATAATTCATATATTCCGAAATCCTATTTAATAAAGATAATTATACAATTGGTGATGATAACAATTTTGTTAATCGACAATGATAATGACGCAGCTTGACGA